ACCCCCCATATAGATATCAATTACCTTAGGAACCGCTGATCTGAAAGAACCATTGAGGGTGACAATTGTCAGTATTGTAGTGATTCCAAGGGCGATTCTTGCAGGTATTGCATCTTTAGATATCCAGAAAGACAACCATGATATGCATGTAATCAGGAAAGTAGGTGCATAGATCTGTAATAACGAATATCCAAGACGTCTTTCGAAGCGAAAAATGGCCATCAACTCCGAATAATTGGCTGTGAACAATTTATTGTAATGGTATTAAAGGAAGTATTAACTTTGCATAGCAGTTGGAATAAATAATCTATGAAAATAGTATACAAATGATTAGCAATGCTTTAAATGCAAAATTGAACGAGCCGTAGTTGAGTCATGTATAATTAATGAGCTTTTTTATAATATCTTGAATTGAATTGAAATACACTTAGTAATTTTACCACATCTGAGGATATCAACAAAATTAAGAATTCCCAACAGAGCAATAAGTTTATGGGGCTCGGGATGAGGCAGCATGTAATTCTAAGCAAMGCAATATACTTKYCCTTACATTTGCCAAATGGCAGTTTTCTRTAGTTGATATGTACATCCTTTAGAGCCAGTTGAGCCAAATTGTCGTTCATAATTCGTATCGCATTGTTACGATCACCTTTCCATCGATAGTTGACATCTTTATCGTCGTAGGCATCTAAAGTATTGCCATAACAAGACTGGTTAAATATTTCTCACAAAAACAAACATCAGCATGCTCGTCGTATCATCGATTTCCACACTTCCAATGTCTAGTTGCATTTTGAGATTTATGTGTAGAGTACTAATGCTTACTGTTTGTTTAATTGCTGTTGTCTCATTCAGAATATTTTGGGTCGTACTTACAGCTCATAATCTCCAGCATACACGTTTGAGTGTCCAGCGGGTACTCGTGCAAATCCATCTCGCATGATGCCGACAGTGTTATCCTATAAGACATATTAGTGTTGATCATTGTTTACAACAAAAAAAGCGAAAATGACTTATCRCGAGGCAGTAATGCTCAATAAATGCTAAACAAAGTTTGTGAATACTTCAACATGWAAAGGCCTGAAAAATAAGAACATATCTTGAGTTTCTATCCAGTTTTATTCTTTACTTTTTTACATTCAAGTATTTTTTACACACTGAAATCGTTCTCTTGTTTTGTAGTTATCGTCAAGTTGTTGAGCTTGTTATAGTTTTTAGATCAACATAGATAACATAACGGCATGTCAMTAGACAGACAGACAACTCTCTTACCTAGAACTATAATGTACATGACCCTGTTTATCGATAGTCACACGGCTGTTATCGGCCGGGACGTCATGGTGCTGAGCATTTTTAATATTCTGAAAATACGTGTCTGGCAGCCATATCAAGTTTCGGTCTGTACCAGTCAAAGTGATAATTCCATGTTCACCATGACGTAATCGTGGGTCATACCATTGTTGTTCAAAGAACATATCAAGAGAAAATTCCTGGAAATTAAAATGATTGCGGGCTGATTTACTAACCTATTATATTGGATTGCGTGTTAAACAATGCATAAAGATATCTTATTGACTCAGTAATTAATAAAATAATAACCATGATTGCTGTCTTACACTCTTCATCTCTTCGACATCTCCAAATGATACGATTGTCATGTAAACTGTGATATTTAGGATTGAATCTGAAAAAAAAACATCAAAGCAGACTGAACGACGTACAGAMAAACAGATATAATGCAAGAATTACTTACTTAGGTGATATGGTCGTATTCTCTTATCGTAGTTTGTGATGTTAGTCAACGAATTTATGAATAAGGAATGGTTATCAAGCCTGGAAAAACAAGCAAAATAAAATTAAAAAAGGCGTTAAAAATCATTTTTACAATTTATGATCATTACCACGCAATACTGCTGTTAATTGTAATGCAGATCATCGCGGGCTCACAAAGCTAGTAGCTTGTCGCGCGGTAACAAGGTTTGTCGGGAACAACAAATTCTAATGAGATTCAACTTGAATCTGTTTCTTTTATAATTAGTTGTGAATAAGAAATCAAATTGAATCTAATACAAARGTTGTCTCTTGAAATAAAGGACGGCATGTCGTCGAAGTTTCCGACGTTTACTTATCCAGAGTTTTGAGATGAGGGCATTTTTTAGAATGTCGTGACAGAAGTAATGATTATTGACAATTAGACCACCAGGTCGCTTGGACATAGTTGACAGTTAATGACACCGTGCTGTTTTAGTATCAATAGTATCCACCAAGCCACAGGGCAAAATTTGAACATAAAAAGCAACATTTTAGGACTGTTTTTACTTGTTCTCGATGCGAAATGGTCTAACATGAASCATAGTTTATTAGCCAATTAGACATTCTCTTTACCAGACCCTACCGATTACGCTAACACTCTTTACCGTTGAGAAACTGAGAAGAGTCTGGGTACGATAATGCTAATCAGCACGCTGGATTTGGTTAAAACTAACCCTGTGGGATATTTGGTGTATTGCCCGCGTTTCGTGGTGATTATATCATTTCTTCGCAAGGTGTTGYGTCCTTGTTAGGCTGAGTGCAATTAAAAGTGCCGAAAATAAAACCGTGAGATTTCATGTCACTGTAAAGACAAAATCGTGCGGCTTTTCTTAAGATTATGTCGTTCTGAAAAGCAATAATGATTGTTTCTGTAGCWTTCCATCAGACTCATGCACATTAGTCAAGGTCGGTAATGCTCACGATACCACATGCGCAAATTCAATTTAGCTATTGGTCACTTAGATAAACTGTTCGTGTTTATTGGATATGAAACGTTTTTGTTACAATATTTAGAAGAAGGTTTCAATATTTATGTTGCCGTGAATTTATTATAGACTAAAATATATACTGAAATATTGAAGTACTTTAATAATTCAATATAGTATGTGGCAAAGAAAACATTTTTTTTCGTGATATTTAAGGTATTGTGCAGTATTTTTGAGGCCACAGAAATTTCTGCAAATGCTTTTTAAAAAATTCATTAAATTCKACTAGTAATAACTACATGCCTATAAAGACAGCTGACAACACGAACGTTGTCATACTTTACTGTAATTTCTATAAATATATGCATGGCAATCCGCTTAAAGTCTGTTAGAAACTCTGTATTCTTCAACGTTGAAAATTGAATTGTCAAACCAGGACACTGTAAATAAACTGCTTGAATTTCATCTGCAATGTTACTCATGACACTCTATAAGTTTATAGTATGGCATACTATTTCCCATATGGGTATGGTATTACTAACAATATACATCGATATATTACACATGATACTAACCCTGAAGCCAATATGGCTGAAGCTAAGACTATCAGAATAACTTTCGTCGCTTCTGTATAATTCTTCATTGTAAAAACTTCAATATGAGATACCAGAATGCTGGATTACCAGTATAAAAGCTTGAGGTGCAGTAGTCAGTCCGTTACGAAGTGACTGTTGAACTCAGATAACACTAGTTTCAGGATTTATATCATCACATCTCCTGTAATGTAGCTCTGTTTCTACTACGAAGAGCTAAACATGACTGCGGTGGTCCCTCTGGTAATAAATATTCATTAGTAATTTTTCCGTTTGCATATTATTATATAACATCGAATATCAGGTGCTGCTTTACCACAAAAAAAGTCATTAGTCAAAACCGCAACCGGTATTTAATCGAAAACAAAGGTTTTTACTAAGATGTGGGATTAGTTTCTCTATCTATATTTCGTGGTCTACCAGATTGATATCGTCCTATTATGTTTACTGTATTTTCAGTTTTACTTATAAATTCTCGTTATTTATCATTTTGGATGTATAATAACACCTGGAAGTTTGACAGATTACTGTTTACTATACGATTTTAGGCATCAATTTTACATTAAGGCCGATTCTTGTCGTACTGTGTATGAAGAATGTTTTGACATCCCATTCGATTATCCTGCATATGTGTTTCTCTAGAATTACTGTAAGAAAATAAATCTGCTTGTCGGTAGACATGATTCCATTTCTATCATAAAACAATAACAATAGTCTAGAAAATAATTTTAATTTTATCATATTGTGGTTTATAATATTTTTTCGTTGGTAAACAGAGGGTGTGTTTCAATGAAATGAARTGATTAGAATGATTGTGATTAAAAAGCACAGAGTACTTCAGCTTGACAAATAATAAAAACACTAAGGAAGGCTGCTGTGCATGCGTCTAATATTCATGCTSTGCATGCGTCTAATATTCATGGAGTTCTCCCAACACTTCTAGTCYAAAAGATTTAATTCACATAGGTTTAGCAATAGCGTGCAGACCAAACGCTGTCTTTTTTATCTTGTGTCGATCATTCATAATTGATGATTGGGTTTTAGCATTACTGATGATCAATTTCTTTGCAAATTTTAGTGAATTGTCGAGAAAACCACTGTCAATTTAAAGTAAAAAGGTTTACCAGATAGCATGAAATCTACTTAGATGGTAAGGAGAACGTTGAGATCCAATGGATAGGCGATTAGATTAAGAAAAAACGCTAATTAAACGAAACAGCTGTGAATATGAGTATGAATAAATAAGGAATATAATCGTCATGTTTATGGCTTTTTCGTTATGTCTACATCTTATGCGGCGTATGCTGATTGGCTTTAATCTGATAAATATAGTTATGATATTTGTTTGTTTTTATGATCTCTTCATGTCCACATTGATGCTTTTTGTTGCTATTTGTATATTTCTTGGYGAGGGAAAACACTGCAAAACTCTACGCATGTACAACAGTTTTGACAAAGTTATAGTCATTTCCGTTTTCTCAAAGGTTCACTATTCTCGTGAAGATGAATGTTTGGTTTCCTAGTCCACTCATCAAAAATGTCATCCGTCGTAGAATATGTTTAACTAAACAGGACAATTAAGTAGACATAAGTGTGTATATAGATTTATTACAAAATTTCATTAGCAATTGTTCAAACTACTCTAAAGCTCATCAGCATTTCTTATTAAGACCTGTAGTGATATTATTGCAATTGAAAGGGTGCGWCTGTGTCAATCAAGAATCTCATGGAATTCCTCCATTATTGACTTCGTTGTTGACCATGTTGTTATTAATGTTGTTCTTGTTGTTGTTGCTGCGGTTGCCCTGGCGACAACATCCAGTTGCAGTGGTGTGAAGTTAAAAGGTTCGTCTCCCTCGTGACTGTGTCAGGCTCAGAACCGATTCGATAATTGATTGCTCTTCAGATGGAAATGCTTTCATAAAGAGCMAATTTTTAGTTTCATCAGCAAGCATTATCATCGCTGATCTAGAAATAACTCCATAGGTATTGTTCAGTAAGATCATTGATCCAAAGCTCCAGCCCTGAACTTCAGCATATTTGATCAATGTGTATCAATTGATGTACGGCTCCGCATATAAACACAGTATCTACTTGAAGCTGCTTAGATTGTAGTATAACCAATACACTACGTTAAACAATAGATAGCCTACTGGAAATATTATTCTTGACACTCTGTCGATGATGCTTGCATCGTTATCAATGAACATAAATCGAACAACTTTTCTTGTTCCTTTTAAAGGTTTTGCTGGTTTGACACGAATTTCTGTTTGTCGAAGTTGTCCTCTCTCGTTATCAAAATCATGTAAATGATCATGTTCATCTATTTTGATACCATTTGTTGGGTCCTGAATAACAGCAATAAMAATATAAATTTATCTTTCAAATTTATCATTGCATAATCGATGACATCATGTGATATTTCATTGTTTAGTGAACAAGTGAACATTGGGACAAAAAGCACATATAGGGAAGTCAAAGTTTTGTTCATTAGTTAAACTTTTGATATAAGTATTGTGACATTATTTTCGTATCTAAGGATCTAAAGCTATACAATAAGATTATTTCAAGTGCAATCACCTTATAATCGCTCATTCTTTTTATACATTGTAGCTTTTGTTTTGTTTCTAAGACTTTGTTTTCGTCTAATGAACACTTTAGTAGTAGTAATATGTATTCTAAGACAGCACCAAACACGAAGATGAACGATACTATGAAGAATAAATCAATAGCCTTGACGTACGACACCTGCAAAACAATCACCAATGATTATCACAGTATTATTTGCTAATTTTGGTGTGGAATGATCTTTAATACTTTAATCATAGAGTACAGTAGGTGTGGAGGTAGGAGGTGTAGGTATAGGGATAGTAGGTGTAGGGATAGTAGGTATAGGGATAGTAGGTATAGGGATAGTAGGTGT